TTCTCAGATGGAGGTTGATGAGGGAAATGAGGTGATAATGATGCTTATTTATGGACCAAACCCTAAAAATTAGGGTTTGAGTACGCGGTGTACGTTTAGTGTGCTAAGGTCCGCCCTAGTATGCCCAGCGTACATAACGTACACCCATTGTACTAGGCCTTTGGCCAAAATCACCAAAATGCCACTATGGGCCATTATTGCAAACTTTTTCAAGCCCAAGGGTAAACATAGAATATTTCTTCATACATAGGGTTAAAATCTAAATTACCTCAACATCGGCTTGTTACAAGTACGAGCTTATACTACCTTCCACACCTATCTGTACTTTCCTCAAGAATCATCCAAAATTTCCTAAGTTACTTCCCTATAGCCACATACTTAAGCTCTCTAATAACAGTGCACCAACGTACTAATAAACTTCCTAGACTTCCTAGGATTACACTTCCCACACATGCCAAAAGATCTCTATTGACACCGATAAATCATCCCAAAAATGCAGGTCATACATAATCAAAATAAAATAAACGTTCGAATAGACGTCTCTACCCTAAGGCCTTCATCGAACAAGAACATACAATAAGGCTGAATCAAACATTCTAAGGCTATCTAGTCTTAATTATGTACCACCCTTTTGCATTCATCAAATAATTTACTAGCATCAACACAAATCCAAAAGCATCAATCTATTAACACATAACATGCGTACAAGATATCTCTCCTAAACAAGCATTCTGGCATGCAACCCTGAGTAGATCCTTAGCCTAACACTAGCATGTAACTTATATCAAATCATGCTAAAACATAACATTCATGTACGGTTATTCTGGGAATTACTTACTTGGGCTCGACTGATTGCATGCATCATACACTTTTTCTTTTAAAAAACCTTTTTTAGAAAACATTTTCTCGTAAAAAGATTTTATTAATTCCTCAGTTTGATTCTAGACGCACCCCATGCTAGCCTGAATTCCTCAAACCAAGGCTCTGATACCAACTTGTAACATCCCAAAAATACCAATATATTTTTTTTCAATTTTTAAAGTAAATAAAACCATTCCATAAACTTCACGAGTCAAGTAATCCAATATCAGAGTAATCCCAAAATCTCATAGTGCTGAAATCATCGGTGGATGCAACACAATCATACTGGCCCTTTTCCCCTGCTACCGTAAGTACCTGAAACATTTAAACTTAAACCGTAAGCATAAAGCTTAGTGAGTTCCCTAAAATACCACATACCATACGTAACAGTGGTCCCCTCCATATAGTGTATTTCAACTCTTGTGTATGCAATGATCCCACCATAGTCATACAGTCACTTCTGTTGCTACAGCCCCAATGCAGTCTTTTCCATGGTCTTCCATGCAAGTGTTGTAATCCAACCATAGTCTTTCATAAAAATGTTGTGATCCCACCACAGTCTTTCATGCAAAAGTCATATAGACAATCTAGTATTCTATGGAGTATAGTGAGAAGACTCACCTAGCTAATCAGAGTAGACTAAATCACAACTCACAAATATGGGAAGCTGGTACTACACACCACCTAATGAATCAAAAAAGGTCAAGCCTCAATCTACTAACTAAAACTACCATCTTACCTACAAATCAACCCGGCCAAAAAGTCAACGGCTAACGATCAAATTCAACAGACAAGGGTCAATAGTCAGCCACCACGTCATGGCCAACCACTGACCGTGTTGTGGCAGCCAGACGATAAAACAATCGCATAGAAACCCTCCACAATGTTGTGACAATCATCAAGCCACGTCGTGGTAACATATGGAAAAAACAGACGCATTGTAGCGCGCCACCACGTCTTGGGCCCTCTTTCGCCACGTCGTGGTTTCCAGTCAAGAGGTTCATTTCCTCCTTAAGAGCATAATCCCTTAAGACATTCCTTCATACTTACTAAAATGCTTCTTTGCATCACAGGGAACCATAAAAATCGTAACTTTATGGACATGAATTTCCAATGCATGTCCTCCTTCAAACATAGGTAAAAATGGTAAAAATAGGGCAAAAACCCCATGCACGGTGATATGTGCATATCTATACATATATTTTACATCATATCTTAATATTTTTAGCCATTTTTATTCCCATTATAGAACAAAAGGTACTTAATCTATTGTATGTTGTGTTGTAGTGGTAAAAGACATGCTTGGAGCAAAAAGGAAGCTGGAAGATAGGAACTTGGATCAAGGAAAAAAATGAAGAAAAGACACATTCCCACGTCGTAGTGACATTACCACGACGTGGTGTTTTGTAGTTTCCCGTCGAATCTCGAAGACTTGCGGATTACGTGATAAACTAGAAGACCACGACGTGGTGAAATTACTACGACGTGGTGAACCGACTTTGAGAAAATTATGAATAGAAGACATAATCCTCCGAAAACCCAACTTTTGTTGGAGCTATTGTTGTCTTTTGAAGGCCAAGAACATACTTTGGAGCTTGGAGTTGCAGAAGATTGATTATAGCTTAGATTTGAGAGATTTGAGGCAATACAACTTCTTATTACGTTTTTCTTCTTGATTTTAATCATGAATGTTAAGTTGAATTTCGTTTTTATGTGTTTACCTGCTGAAATCATGAGCTAAAAACCTATGACTTTTGTTTAGATTAAGATTGCTTGACTTTTTATTGTTTGATTTATGGTTTGGATTATGATTAGTTGGTTATTTGTTACCGTAGCTTATTAAAGAACCTATCTTTGCTTATGAGAACTACTTTTCTGTTTATTGCCGAGTTTAATTAAGTTTGCATGACCATCACTCTTGATTGAACTTGAATCTTATGATCTTTATGAATTGCAAAATTGTAGGACTGGTGTTTTGACCGAAACCTAGGGTTAAATAGCAAAATGGGTAAATAATTATAGGAGCTAATATATGACGAACAATCATATATTGACTTGATTTAATAAATCGAATCAACCAATCCGTTATAAGTCTAATTTAACTCGAGCCGAACACTAGTCAATTTGTTAGTTTATCTGCCTGATCACCGTATGAATGAACTTATTTGCTAAAGGATTAGGTTAGTGAACAATAACTTGGTCATCTTAGGAATCGGTAACCAACGAAGCATTAATCCATTTCACTTCCATAAATCAACCATAATAGCGAGTATATTAAAGCTAAACGAAAGTCTCTCAATTACCTTGGTGAAATTCGTTTTTTGTGTTTCTTGCTTTAAATTTTTGTTTTTGTTTCATTAGTTGATAGTTAGTTTAGTTTGGTTAATTAAGTTTCTAGTCTTGCAAAAGTAGAGAAAACCCCTTCTCCTTATTTAAATAGCAATTTAGGCAATTAGTAGATAAAATTAGCTAATCATTCTGTTCCCTAGGTTCGATACCCGATTATTTGTATTATTCTATTTTTCAACAAGGTACACTGCCTTAGGAAGTAATAATTAGTTACATTAGTAGGTTAAACTATTGCATAATTATTTACGCATCCCATGGCATCAAATAAGTGAACCATTTCAGATCTAGAACATATGCAACTCTTGGGACCTCAAGGAATGATAAAGTTGCCAACTTTATCAAAACTAAACATGTATATGAACCCATCAAGAAGAGCTTAAAACCAAAAACCTAGATCTAGAAGGAAACAAACGTAAATATGATGGTTTTAGGGAGTTGCAAAGGTCTAGAATATACACAAAAGTTGGAGACGAGCTAGCTTGATGATTCCTTGCTCTACAAGATCTTCCTTCTCCTTCCAAAGACCACAAATCACCAAAATATAGTTCCAAATGATCACAAGAGGCTAGGGTTTGATTGGGAGCTCTTTTGGGGTAATGGGGATTGAGGGTGGTCGAAACCCTCGCCCTCATATCATTTATATATGGCCCAAAGCCCTAAATTTAGGGTTTTGTGCGGAAAGCGGCGCCACGCCGTGGTAAATATATCAACATGTCATGGTGAGGATGGCAATACCACACCATGGTGCTCTAAATACCACATCGTGGTAAGGTGAAAGTCCACATTTCAAATTTAATCACAAGGGAAGCCTTAAAGAATAGTACCTCAAAATCTGGATGTTACACAATGACTATGAAGTCAGAATAATCTAGGTCATTAGAAATTCCCATCAACCCTTCAGGAAATCTAAACTTGGGTAGAGAGTAGTAGAGATTAAGACATTTCTATTGTGTAAATCGTTCGATGAAAGCAAAACATTCTCTTACATCCATTCCAGCAGAATCGATGTTGTCAAGCCTTTGGTGAATACCCTATGTGTAAGCAAAATGGTACATGCTAAATATTCCTTGTAAGTGTATTTCAACGATAATGTATTGTGCCATTTTGATCGAACAAAATTTTGGCTGAAGAGAATAGAAGGCGAAATGGAGCTTTTCGGTCGAAGAAGGAGAAAGAAAAAAACAATTACCCTTGTTTAAAACCTCCTCTACCACACACGACCATTTAATCACATGAATAATAAGAATTATAATTAATAATGTGGTAACTAAATTAATGACATGGAACGTGGGGTAACGAGCTTACCCCTGCGAAATGTTGATAGTGGGCTTGTTAAACCCGACAATATACACCTTATGCCCCCATACTGCAAGAAAATAACACAAGGGGCCAATTAAATCAAATCATGCAAGTTTCTTATACATTATCCCATATTTATAATTTAGGTAATTGAAATTGTAATTTCCCAAAGTCCAAGGGTCTAACTAGAACCATAACCAATTAACCATAGCTATATCATGGCGACATGGCCTAACAATGACCGGATGGCGGCAATCGAATCGTGATAGTATGTCTTAATCATATTTATCCTTCCGAGGAGTCAAGCCATGCCAATTTGGTTCTTACCCTTTTTAAATGTTAAGTGGCAATTTGGTAATTTTTGGTGCAGTCGTTTGTCCTTTTTGAATTATATAGCTTGCGTTGATAGTTGATACAACCCACGTTCCTGCACCTTTCTGCCCCCGTCTTTCTCCCTGGAGTATTTTTTGCCAGACAAATAATCGGTGATAATGGCAGAAATTGTACGGACGCATGAACGACGAACGTCGGTGAACGGGAACGATGAACTCAGGGAAGTAAAATGGGCGAAGCATTACTCTTCGAACCACCAAATACTGTTGGTTGGAGAAGGAGATTTCTCTTTTTCTATGAGTTTGGCGATGTCTTTTGGGTTTGCTTCCAACATTGTAGCATCTTCTCTCGATTCTTATGGTAATGAATCCTTACTCCTTTGATCGTCTGTTAAATCTAGGGTTTACATGATCACTTGATGCATTCTATTTGGCAGATATGAGCATATTTTCTCGTTAAGTTTCTCCGGTAGTAAATAATGAAAGGTTTATTTTGCTTTTCTCGAAGCATTTACATATAAGAAATTAGGAATCCCAATAAATTTGATCATAAACTTCGGTGCTTAAACCCACTGAAAAGAGTTTCAGGGTTAACAATTCAATAATAAGTTTTGGTGACTTATATTGGTTAATCGTAAATATTGTGTTGTACCAAATATGGCATCAAAGTAATTGAGTTCTTAAACCTATTAAAAGACGTCGAATAATGAATATCCTTGGTTATGATTGAAACGATATAACTAAAAACATTAAAATAAGAAAGGAGTCAAAAATACCATGAATATTCATTCAAAGTATTTACAAACTTTATGCTCTTGATTTGTTGTCTAAACTCTAAAGAGTCAATTTTTTTGTTTTAAATGCGTAAGGTGTTGGTGTTAATTGTTAAACTGTTAATTATGATTGTGGCTTAATATATTAATAGATGATGTTATGAAGAAATACAAGAGAGCAAAAACAAACCTAGAAATGTTGTGTAATTTTGGAGCTCAAATATTACACGGAGTTGATTCAACCAGAATGAAGCTTCACACTGATCTTAGAATGCGGAAGTTTGACAGGATTGTATATAATTTCCCACACGCTGGTTTTTTGGGGAAGGAAAGTGATGACTTGGTCATCATGTAAGCTTCTTTTCTTGTTTCAAACAATCCATCATTCTTTTCGTATATAAATTCAAAAGAAATTTGTAAATTATGCATCTCTAATTGTAGGAAGCATAGAAATTTGGTACGTGGTTTTTTGAGAAACGCAAGTGGCATGTTGCGTCCAAACGGTGAAATTCATGTGACACACAAGGCTGCTCGCCCGTTTGACTCATGGAATATTGAAGAATTGGCAACTCAAAGTGGTTTAACATTGATTGAATGTGTCAAATTCAAGATTGAAGATTATCCCGGTTACAACAACAAAAGAGGAGCTGGTAGGAATCCCGACCAGGCATTTCCTCTAGGGGAATGCAATACTTTTAAATTCATAGTAACTTCAAAAACCATGAAACTAATGCGTCAAAAACCTCAAGAAATTCCATTACAAAGAGCGAATGAACAGATTGTTATGAATCCTTTGCAAAGTGGTGAATGCTTTTGGATTTTCAAGGAGTATTTCAATCATGCAAGATCCACCTTTGGGGAACCTGATTATTTTCTTCCGTATAATGTTCCGGACATGCTGAGATTAGGGTTTGAAAGATACAATGCAGATGATTGTGGGAAACCGTTGGATGGTTATTTAAATCATTTGGAAGAGCTTTGGAATTTATGCAGAAGGAGGCTAGTATTCTTGCGAAACAGATTATGGGAAATTGATCATCCGTATTAATTAAGAGGTCAGCTTGTGCTCTCTTTTTGCTTCATGTGGATCACACTTTTTTGTGTCCAAGTGCTCGTATATATTTTGGGATCTACAAAAACAACTGTGAAATGTGATTCCTGGTGTTCTTAATGTTTTTTTGGAATGAAAGGGCATATATAATGTATTGTAGAGTTGTAGCATTTTACATGTTTATGTGATTGTTTCTATGTGCTATACTGCTATAAATGAGATATCACAAACGTTTATAAAGATAACAATAGGATTTTATACGAAAGTACGAAACGTCACAACTATATATAACCAATATTTTAATCGAACTAATTTTCGAGATAGATGTTTTCAAACCAAATAAAAAAACAAAAGTTACACTTTAACGAATTTACTAAAAGGGAATGGCTAAATAAACATCCCATTCTATTTAAAAAAACAACCATCTCAATAATTAAGCAATAATCAGTCTATTTATCTTCATTCACATCTAATTATATCCATCTATATCATAAATATGAATATTATATTTTAAAAGCTATAATTGATATATTCTAATAAATCTAATATCAGAAATATTTATTATTAAAACAAACCATCCATATCCATATTAACGTCATTATATATTCCTACGTATTATATAATATTGTTGTGTATTGCTTATTAACTATTGTTATATTATCATATATATAAATATTATATTTCAAAAGATATAATTGTTATATTTTAATAAATCTATTATTAAAATATATAATTAAAAGTTTAAAACAAATCATTCATATTGAAGTCATTTTATAAATTTTTTCTATTCTTACGTATTATATAAATATATTAGAGACTTACTGTTGTTTATTTCCTATTAACTATTTATTATTATTCATAGGTATATAATATAAATATATGTTTCTTATTACATAAAACGTATACTAAACATCATTTTATAATAATAAGAATAATAATAAGATAAATTATATTTCTTTGGAAAATAAAATATTTTTAGACAGTATATGTAATGTTCAAATATATGTAAAGTAGTATAAAAATTTTGATTGCAGAAATAATGTGGAAAAAAAATGTTAAAGCATAAAATGAAAGAAAAAATATAATAAAACAATATAGGGAATAAATATTGAAAAACGAAAAGGTGAATTAATGTTGGTTTGTAATATGATATATAGCTTTCTAAGGCCATACGGGATGGAGACCTTCTCACGCGTAGGATACCTACGCGGATCCTATGTGGAAGGGTTTTTCACTAGTGAACACCACCCCAATGTGTAGTGGGTGTCTTGTGGAGTGGTGGCTACCACAGAAGATCACCAAAAGCATTGTGTTTATCTCTCTCTTCCTTTTCTCTCCCTCTCTCTCTTCTTTATTGGTTGTTCACTACTTCTTCACTAGTGAACATCATCCCCGAAGTATAGTGGGTTGGTTGTGAAAAGGCTATGAAATTGTTTTCACGCGTATATAAGGATACCGGATAGCCTAAAAGACAATCTCCAATAAAGTTCACTGTGTTTAATGTTAAAAGTAATTTGGTTTTATGATTAGAATGTCTAAGGAGTGTCTATTTAGCAGTATCCTTACTAAAAACAACGTAAAAGAAACAATTTATATGGTCACTTGTGAATATCTCTATATTAAAGGGTGAATATATTCTATCCTATAGTAAGAGTGTAACACTACTATAGATATTCACAAGTGCATATAACTTTTAAGAAAATAAGATAATAATAATGTTTTTTTCTCATTACCAAAATGATCACCGAATTAGAAAGAAATGGCCTAATTTGGACTTTGAACTCACCGTTTATGGTATATAATTTGAAATTTTCTCTCAACTACACCAAGACATGAAACAAAAATCGCTATTGTCAAGGACATCAAAATGTTAATTCACTTGATTTTAAATCCAGAAAACTCTTTTGCAACATCATTTGAACATAGAGGTGCACTTGTTAAACCAGTTTTTTGAGAACTAGTCTAAAAATAATCGTCCACTGGTTTGGAACCGTTTTTTTTTAAAACTCAAAACCGGTTTTTCTAAAAAAACCAAACTGAACCGGTTTTCTAACCGAAAAAACCATTTTAACACAAATTCGATTAAAAAAACCCGAACCAAATACAACTAAAACCGGTTTTCTTATAACCGGTTAAAATAGGTGTTTATGCGCCTCTATTTGAGCCATGGATTGGATTGTGCATATACCTATTTAAGCCATGGATTAAACTAAAAACTATGTTTTTCGAATTTCGAAAAGCAAAT